ATCGTTAAATTAAGAGAGAGAGAGAGAGATTTTTATGTAATTCTTGTCATGATTTCTTTTAATCAACGACAATTAGTAATATTAATTAATTAACCGACTTTACTTAGTACTTAATGAAACGAAGAATGATTTGAGTATTTCTTTAGCTAATACATAATGGATAGTATTATTGATTTATAAATTTCTTTATGTCACTCATGGTTGCTGCAGGGTAATTATTATATCTGAACGGAATTTCTTCCCCTTTTTATTCACATACTACTGTTCATCATGCCAATAATTAGCATAATAGTTTTACGTTCTCAAAGTTTATATTCATTTTTGAAATAATTCTGAAGGTGATAATTCTAAATACATAATGATTGATAAATGTTGAAATCAGTGCATTAAGCTTTATCAAAAAAATATTCAGAACTGTTGAAATTAAAAAGAAAAGTGTTTTATCAGTGAAGAGTGATAGCCCAATTAACAATTCACTCATAATACTAAGGAAAAATATATTCGACAAGTCAAAGAAGCTCATTACAACCTTATTTGCATGAAGAAGCCAAGAAGCCAACTGAGACGTAAACAACAAGTTGTCGATGACGGCAATAATCGTAATCATAGATTGAATGTCAACAATATTAATTAACAAAAATTTCAAACCCAACTATTTCCTTCTTTTTTCCACGAATATTATAAAAAAAAAACTTTTTAATGCTAACTGCCATTAAAATCAGGAATTGTCGTCTGTCAAATGTGACTCTCTTCCAATTTACAGCTAGAATTTATGTTTATCATATCTGGTGACTGATATCTTTGAGATATTTAATGTAGGGAAATCATAACGCAATTAAAATTTCGCTACACTGAATGTAATGCAATAACCATGCTGATAGGACGGAATGATAATAGTATTGGAATGATAATAGTATATAATAGTATAATAGTAAACGGAATGATAATAATAGTATTGGAATACAAATAGAATTAATTATTGAAATGTTAAATAAATTAAAGTGACGTTAGCTTAATTAATTATTGATGAGTCGAATAGTTAACTGAATCTATATTGTCGCAGGTGATTATAATATATTATAATCTAACATATTCAAAATATTACATCATCATTGTTATTAGCTGTCGCTAAAATAATCGAAGATCATATCGTTTCGCGAAAATAAAGAAAATCTATTGGCAGAATAAATTTAAAAAGAAGATTTTGATAAAATGCAATTTATAAATGCTTGAGGAAATATCTGATGATAATATCAAAGCAGATAACAATCCTTAGCTGTTATATAAGTCGTATTAAAGAAATATTTTATGAAATTATGTAAGATTCGATGCTTTGATGGATTCGATTATATCGTTGTGATATTCGGAAAATGTAAATTTTAATTGAATCATATGAAGATTTAGTATCATGATTAGCGTTAATAATATATACACGTTTCTGGCTTCTATTACAATATTTTTGGATATTTCAATTGACCACCTCTATCACATCACCAACATTATCATCATCGTTCATCATCATTCATCATCATCATCATCACTCGTCATCATTCACCGTCATTCATCATCACCATCATCATTATCAACCATCATCATCATCAGCAATCATCATCATCACCACCATCAACAATCATCACTCATCATTCATTCACCATTATTCATCATCAAACATCATCATCACAATCATCATCACCATTCATCAACATTCATTATCATCCGTTCGTCATTACCATTCTTCACCATCATTCATCATCATCAATCATCGTCATCATTTATCATCAATCATCATCACCAATAGTCGTCATCCATCAACACCATCATCATTTTATTATCATAATCACCATTCATCATCGTCACCATCACTCATCATCATATCGCTCATCAGCATTCATCACCATTCATCAATCATCATCACTCGTCATCATCCTTATCAACATCATAATCATCAATGATCATCGCAATCAGTATCACTCGTCATCATTCACCGTCATTCATCATCACCATCATCATTATCAACCATCATCATCATCAGCAATCATCATCATCACCACCATCAACAATCATCACTCATCATTCATTCACCATTATTCATCATCAAACATCATCATCACAATCATCATCACCATTCATCAACATTCATTATCATCCGTTCGTCATTACCATTCTTCACCATCATTCATCATCATCAATCATCGTCATCATTTATCATCAATCATCATCAATCATCATCATCACCAATAGTCGTCATCCATCAACACCATCATCATTTTATTATCATAATCACCATTCATCATCGTCACCATCACTCATCATCATATCGCTCATCAGCATTCATCACCATTCATCAATCATCATCACTCGTCATCATCCTTATCAACATCATAATCATCAATGATCATCGCAATCAGTATCACTCGTCATCATTCTCACCATCATCATCGTTCATCAGCATTCATCACCATTCATTATCATTCATCATCATTAATCATTATCACTCGTCATTCTTATCATCATCATAATCATCATTGATCATCCATCATCGTCACTCGTCATCATTCACCATCATCATTATTAATCATCATCATTTATCACCATCATCATCATCAATATCATTCATCATCAATCATCGTTCGTCATCATTCATCGTCATCGTCATCATTATCATCATCACCATCATTCATCATCAACACTCATCACCATTCATTATCACTCATCATCATCATCATTCATCGCCATTCATTATCATTCATCATCATCAGTCATTATCATTCGTCATTCTCATCATCATCAAATCAAAATTCCAATAATTTATTTTTTAATTTTTAAGATGGATTATTCTCAGCGTGGATTAAAAAATAGGGTGGATTAATTCCATCATTAATCTCCCATCGCTCTCATGTCGATCGTTGTTCTGGCTTCAGATCACATCATTCTGTTTGATATGGCCAACCATTCTGTTTGATATGCTTAAGCGAAAATTATCGGTTTATTTTTTACAGTCCTCAAATAAGCAAAAATTGGGTAAGACTTCTTTGCTTAGAACGACAATATAGTACTAATCGATTGAGCATTGACAAAGCAAAATATTTCAAAATTTTTATCAAAAGAATATTTCACTTCAACATAATGAGTCTTATCTTAAAGTACCATAATAAGCATAAAGACTTTGTAATCTAGGAATCTACAAATGAGTTATTACTTTTCATATTTGTGTATTCATAATTCATACTTTTAGCATGATCAATAATCAATACTTTCTTGGAGCAATAACTCGAATACTTGCAGTCGTGATAGCAGCAACCGTTTCACGATGACAAATGTTTTTATGGATGCATTTCGGCAATAATTCTTTTACGCGGCATGCAATATCATCTTGCTTTATCATGATTGCAGCTACATTTGTTAAAGGATTCACATTACAGCTGATTGCTACTGCTGCACGGATAAATTTGGAATAGCGGGTTGTTGGATCGTTATCACTATCGCCCATCAACAATTTCGAGCACAATGGTAGCACGTAGAAGATCAATGTAAACACGCAGGAAACACCCATTGTAATGGTTAGTTTACGTTGACGTGCTTCAAATAATTGTAATGATGCTTCCTGAAATATACAAAATTGGAGTATTTTGATCATTAAACTGTTATTCTTCAGATTTCTGGGAATAATTGGTCTGACTGTATCGGTTGCTGATTCCGCTTAATCTACTGCATTCTCGACATTAGTATTATCGACATTAGTATTTCGATCTTCTGGATCTGGTGAGTTATTTCACTTAGCAATTACCGTCGTCAGGCATGTCGACTAAATTTTGTAAAAGCTTCAAGTTCCAACTTTTTATATACTAATTTCTTTTTGCATCGTAGATTGTTTTGCGAATGAGTCAAGTTAGAAAGGTTCAATTGGGCCTTCATAGTTATTATTTGCTTGCTAATCGATGAAATGGGGAAATGGGAAAGGGAGTGGGAAAGAATCAGTCTCAATTAAATGAGGAAATGGGCGATTGGATCAATCAGAAAAAACGGTCAATATAAGTATACCGGTCGATTGCTTTTTATCCGGTGAAGATGTTTTCTGCTCAGGAAGTATACAACCACGTAGAGGATGACACTTAAAGATGTGGTAGTAATCATCAACAAAAATTGCAGATCAGCGAAAAACGAATACAGAATATCACCTGTCCTGAAAAGGCCTCTTTCATAGGATGTTCGACGATGCGATTTACAGAATTATCTGTGACGAACTATTGAGTTTACCTACCAACAAAAACCATGCAACATGGTTTCATTATCGCTGAAGGAAATAAACCAGAAAACAACGACAAATAGCGATGCCGACCCGAAAAAGACAATGATCTGAAAAAAAGAATATGCTCCACCTGAAATTCTAAAATCAGGTACGTTTTATAAATACAAACTTTTCACCTAATTTTGATATTTACTTGTAAATTTGCAGGTACTTTTAATTTATAGATTGAAGACAAAATTTAAATATATGTCTTTTTATTTTTTACTTAAAAATTCGAATTTTTTAATCTCTGAGTTAAAAATGAGGACTAACCTGCCTGATTTGATATACATAATTATTCTCATAATATCGCATGGGTGATATAAACAAAATGATTCGATCCGTACTCACCATGAGTGTTGCTGTAGCTGATACTAACTCAGACCTAAATCATTTTTATTGCTTACAAAATTAATTAGCATTGTAATAGCAAGTAGTAATAGAGGAAGTGATGGAAATCTACAAATGAAATAGTAAATAAGTGAAAGAAGACAAAGTACAAGAAATTACCATATACCAAGGGTAAACCATGGTAGCAACAGGCAGTTTCGTCTAGTTTTTCGGTAGTATCCAAATTTCATCATAACAAGACGATAGATTGCAGTTAGAGAAAACGAAGCTCCCAGCATTGTATCAGCAAAGGCCTGGATGAAAAAAAGCTGGTTAAAAAGTAGGCAGGCGGATCAAATGATCTGTTGTGATTTTAATTAATTACCTGCACAAATAAAATAAGATATTGGCGCCTGAGATATTGATGTTTAATTAGTGCTATTCCAATCAAACCATTGCTAATGACAAGGATAAATCCTTCAAATGCATAGATAGCAAATGTAATTATAAAAAATAGCTGATTATCTTCCTTTAATTTTCCGCTATCGTCATAATCATTTGTAGTGATATTCATTACTGAAACTATAAATTACAGTTGAACTATATTAAAAATTAACGCAAAAATTTAAATACGTAGCGATTGATAAATGTTGAAATCAATACATTAAACTTTATCAAAAAAACATTTAACACTGCTGAAATTAAAAATGAAAAATGTTTTAATTAGCAATTCACTCATAACACTAAGGAAAAGTATATTCGACAAATCAAAGAAGCTCATTATAAACTTATCAGCAAAAAGAAGCCAAGAAGCCAACTGAGGCATAAACAATAAATTGTCAGTGACGGAATTAATTGTAATCATAGATTGTATGTCAACAATTTTAATTAACAAGAATTTCAAACTAAATTATTTCCTTTCCTCCCACAAATATTATGGAAAATATTTGTTTAATTTTAGCTGCCACTAAAATTATATACTCAAAAGAAATGATATTTATCTTTTTGCAATGAAATATATCAGAAATTGTCGTCTGTCAAATTTGAATATCTTCTAATTTACAATCAGAATTTATGTTTATCTTGTCTGATAACCGATATCTTCCGAACGAAAGATTGAGATATTTAATATGAAGAAATTTTAAAAAAATTTAAAATAAAATTTTCCTATATTAAATGAAATGCAATAGCTATGCTGATAAGAAGGACTGATAACAGTATTGGAATATAAATAGAATTAATCACTGAAAACTTAAATAAGTTAAAATATCATTAACACAAATTAATAGTTGATGAATCGAATAGTTAACTTAATCTATATTGTCGCAGGTGATTATAACATATATATATATATATATCCATTTTGACGTTTGATTGCGATATTCTGAACTTCTGTTCTCTATACATTGGGCTACGCAATTAATAATATTATTTAAGTTGTTTAATCTTTAAATATTTTTCTGTATTTCCCCCATAGTCAGAAATTTGCATATTCAAAAACTTAAGCTTATGACGGTTGAAACTTGTCTGATGAATTCATAAATTGTTCAACTTCAACTTCATTGTTTTTGTATCTTAGAAGGTAATTTTAATTAGCAATTTGATTAAAAATGCAATTTGTTCTGATTAAGGTCGATAATTTCTATTTCGTAATGCAATTTAATAAGATTTTAATTTGAATATGGAATGGAAATTTGTAGTTTCAATGAGTAGCACGTTTAATCTCTCGTTAATTATTTCCTACTTTTTATTAATCGAAATTTCACTTTCAACGAATGTATAAAATATAAGACTTACAATAAATATTATCCATTATATTTGATACCTTGATAATATAAAATTGGAGTGGATACTACGAAATTACATTTGCTGATGATATCTTCAATAGAGATTTAAATTAATTAAAATATCCTAAATATATTAAAAGCCTTAAATTATTAATGATTATAATGA